CAGTTGCCCTCGATCTTGTCCAAATGGACTTGCGAGTCATAACGAATCCCCTAACTCCACCCAACCTCAACAGCGATGTAAATATCTACAATTTTTATCCTTGAAAAAGACCCTATGATAAGAGGCTGAAGTGTCAGCAGTTCTCTATTATCTGATGGACAAATTCTTATGCTGCGTCTACGTTGCATGTCTGCATTATTACCTTTATCATATCTGTATCACCTTTATCGTAACGAACAGAATACTCTATCGTTGGGTGAAACTCTTTCATCGTATCTCATACCCTTTGAACAAAGAATGATAACTCCTAGTGATCAGACAAAGGCAAGGAACCAAACACAGACATAATCGAACGCAATCTATTCCAAGACGGTTGTACCAAGTGTGTAACCTCCTTTTATTTGCTTGCTGAGCAGAAAGTCACCTGAGGTACTACTGTAACTCTTATCAGTCAGCTCTTCACATAGTTTATGACGGTCTGGAAACTCTGATATCAAAATTTAGCATTTAATTCTGAAAATCAGAAACAAAAAATAAACGATTGAGGTGGCGGAAAAATTCAAAAAAGGAGAAGTTGATGAGTACTGGGAGGTAACGTTCCTTGTACTTCCGTGATTGAGTGCCATTGTGGCACTTTTCTTTATGTTTTCGTCCTTAGTCGTGAATACCTAGCTGCTTTTGTCTTCGAGGTTACGTCTACAGCTAGGTTACACCTATGGCGAAACTCGTTAACGTATTACCTCAAAAGAATGAGGGGGAGTGACTAAGCCTGAGCTAGAATCTGTGATTTTAGGAGTCGCTTTACAAACTGAATTACTCTGGTCCGATGAAACGGGCACGATTGATGGAACAAACTCCGTACCTTCAGATCTAACAACACAATGACACTGGAGATCCAAAACGTCAGCGCGCCGTGCAGCAGGAAGTGAATATTAATGTCCACGGAAATGGCGTCGTTGCCAGAGTGGAACCATGACCCAACCATGCCGTATGTGACCATCATTAGCATCAGAACAATGGTAGTGCGACACGTCGATTTCTCCAGGAACAAATAAAAGCAGCTGTGGAAGTTTCGCTTCGACTCGTTGTCCGGCAGCAGCATGATCAACTGTTCACTGGTGATCTCGCCATCGACGTTATTCTCTCTGTCGCCTTTCGCCCATCGTTCTGAGTTCAGTTCCGTCATGACATCTGCTGCACCCCGTAGGTCGCCTCGTGCCAGAAGCCACCGGTAAGATTCCTGCGGTAGCAAGACATTGCGAAACGCGTACAAAATTAATTATTAAAAAATTAATTACTTGAAACAGTAGATAAAAATAGATCAGAGGGGACGAAATTAGGTTCACGATTACGATGAACATTCGCCAGTCGTTCGCCAAATACAACACGATTGAGTTGATCATGAAACCGAGGCCCCACTGGATGCACGCGAATGGAACGAGGCGGTACTTGCCGTCGGTGGTTTCGATCAGCAGCGTGATGCACGTGGTCTTCATGTGTCCGAAGATGTATCCGTTGAAGAATTGAAATATGGCGAATGCCCGCCAGTCGGTTGATGCGATGGACATCATGGAGCTGACCAGAAGTATGGACTGTATGAGCACGTAG